TCAGTCTCACAGGCCCATACAGAATCTGCGCTTACAGAAAACTCAAGATTTCTGCAGAATTGGAACACGTCTCAATCACAAAGTTGAAGACATCTCCAGTCCCTTGAGTTCCATTATCAAAGACCCCATGACACATAAATGACAGTTTTGAGACTTTCTGTCCATGTCAAGTAGTTTTGTACTCCTAAATATTGAACTTTTAGAAGATATACACATTTAAAATGCACTTTCTCTACTGGGAAAACCAACCAAATATACTGACGACTCATCTTGCACCCGTGGGCATTTACACATTTTTGTCCAATCAAAGAACAGGGAGCCCAACCATGTTCTAGGAGATCTACCTTCCTGCAGTTTCAACACCAACCCTGATCAAACAATCCTGAACCAGCTAACTAAGATCTTCAGGAGCACTTGTTAATTACAGAAAGGTGTGTTAGTGCGAGGATGAAACTGAAATCTGCAGGTAGGTAGATCTCCAGGAACTCCAGGAGCTCAACTGAACACATTTTATTGTTTTTAAACTCATTCCGCATAAAAATGGGGAAAAAAGCAGCAGATTCTGTCTGGGTCTAGTCATCCGGTGTCTACTCATGCACTCTTTTCCTCTCCATTTGGATGTGAAGACATGAAAACAAGGCAGATATGGAGAGCGGATCAGGCTGATTCATTTCATATCTAAAGAACAGCAAACACAAGTGCTCTCAAACAGCGAGAGTGGGGAAAGACGAAGAGAAAAACTCAGAGAGCAGGAGCATGGTGGGTTGACTCTGCTAGATTATAGGTCTTAGTATTATTATGATAATCAGGGGTTGTATGGGAATTTTGGAGCTGGTAGCAGTCCCTCAGAGCAGGCTTTAGTCTAGCAGTTTACTACAGCGCATAATCACTGTCATTATCACCATATTCAACACTGTACTATATTATCCCTTCAGTCCCATGTAAACAAAGCCTTTGACTAACATAACAAATCTTCCCACATTAATGCTCAGCTAGGAAAGCCATGTAAAAACATTTTGGTGAGCTAAGCGGGAAAGGAGAGAGTGGTGTGGGAGGGGGAACGTGGAAGAAGGGTAGATGGGAAATAAAAACGAGCAAGGGCAGAAAATGGAGAGATGCACAAAACATGACGCACATCGGACGTCTCCAGGGATGGAGAGAGGCACGTAAACAGCCTCTCCCGCGGGCCATTGCAGCAGGGTATAAGGGGGTAAAACAGCAGCGATGTGGTGCCAGGTGGGCAGAGGGCCATGAGTCAGGAGCAGATCTCCTAAGCTCTAAGAGCCAGTTCACAATGGTGTATGACAATACATTCAAATGGTCAAACCTGCTGACCAGCTGAAGCTGGTCCTACTCATCAACATGGAACATTTTTGCAAGAAAAGCAAGTAAAAAAATGTTCAGGTCATTGCTTTAAAGAAAAGCTGATCATACATGCCTCGGGCTAAATATAGGACCGGGTGTACTAACCACCTGCTGGGCAGCACACCAGCGAACATACTGACCCTGTGTCAATCAGTACAAGTTATCATGCAATGGATTGCACACACGTCCCCTTAGAAGACTTACAGGAGTGAGAGATAGAGAAAGAGAGAGTGCAGATGGTGCTTGGATTGAATGATAGGACATTGATTCAGGATGCACCAATGTTCTCCACATTTGACAGTGGGTGCAGCAGACCTTCTCTAAACCAGCTGCAGACTTGTGTAGTTTTGACATCACCTCTTCCTCTGACATTAAACATGGATACTCACTCCTGCTCTCTCTCTTTATTTCTATGGCTATGTTTGGAATGGCATACTAGCTTATTACTTACTGTGTAGTATACAGTGTTTTTTTTTTAAAGTGAACAGATGTTCCACAATAAATATTTCAAACATGCTTCCCTGTTGTCACATGACTTCATCATGTTGGATCATCCAATGAATGATATCCAATAAACATGGGAAACAAAAGTGGTGTTTGGCAAATAAAACATCTTTACTTTTGGCAGTCCAATCCGATTAAAAAATAAAATGAATAAATAAAATTACAGACAATATTTTCAGTTCATCCATCACATTGGAAATAAAAGGTAAAGTGAACCACTTTGAATTGTGGGACAAAATAATCTATACTGACTGAATTCTATTTCTACTCTTAATACAATGCCATTCCGAATTCAGCCTCTGTTGTTTACCATTCATTCTGGCAAAATTTACTAGGCAATTCGGGAGAAAATCTGCATACTGTGCAAACAATACATAGTATATACTGCAGCAATAGTAAGAGTAGTATGCTAGTATGCTCTTCGAAATATAGCACACTCTCGTCACCCTCACATATGCTCTGTACACAGAACGAAAACCACATTGAATAAATGAATGTGCATAAATAATCAAAACAAGCAAATAAATATTAATAAATAAAACATCAGACATGAAAGACTTGAAGATTGAGCAGACTTCAGAGGGGCGGAGCACTCATGAATACCTCTCTTTTGTTCAATAGGCTATGCAGCTCTTTTGCATATGGGGATTCTAAACCACAGAGGCCGTGTCTCACTGGTCAGATGTTCCTGTCGCTCAATGAATGCTAATTCTGTTTTGTTTTTTGTTTTAAACCTTAGTTTCCATTGTACCTGACTGGCAAAAAAACAACATTTAAAATACCTTTAACAAAGTCTTTTAGATGGAAGCTTATACTGAGCTCTTATATAGATATAGATTTACTCTGCTTCCTGTTCTTCTAATGCGGGTTCATCTAACCCAGTAAAAATAGCCTCTGAGATACATACTCACACACATACGTACTCCGGTTCGCGAGCATCCAAATGGTCACGTTCAGACATACACATACAAACTGTAAATCAACTGTCACACCAGTTTCAGAAACAACAGCTGATATTTGTATGTAAAACAGTCAAATACAATCTAGGGTTTGCGACTGAAACTTTTCCGAATGTGCCCCCCAATTTTTTTTCTCACCTAAATATATTCTATTCATCTAGTCATCTGATATCTATTACATCTTCCAGATAAAATATAACCAACACTACATTATGGCTGCTGTCAATCAACCCACAATGCACCAGTGCGCCACTGAGGCACAGTGTATTCCCCTTTCACTCATGTCAAGCACTTCCTGTCTGGGAATGTTGAAGGTCAAACATTACCAACAATGTAATGGGTTATATTACATAAAGATTGTGCCAGGATTTATCTCGTTTGCATGTAAAATCCTTGTCTTTCTGTCTCTCTGTCTCTCTCTCGCTGTCTCTTGGCAGACAATTAGATTTCCTGGCACTGCGGTGCTCCAGGGCAGGACTGAACGAGGGCCGGAGAGAGCGAAAGAAAGAGAGAGGGAGAGACTGGCGTGGTGTTTAGGCCACAAACTTAAAAACATCTTTATTTTCGATTTCTGTTGCAGTACAAGAACTGTTTTTTCATAGTATTTGATACTTTTTTTGTTGCTTTTGTTCTTCTATGTACAGGAGACGAGTAGAATAAGACTTGCTTTCACTTTCGTGTGGTTCTTATGTACAGAGGTCGGACTCAAAGAATGTCTGGAGCGGTAGCAAAAAAATTATTCTAGCCACAACAACACAGGTGATACAGCACGTCCACCTACAACATCCATCAGTGATTCGGAGAGCAGGTTCAGTCCTTAATCCACCCCCCATCTGTGGATCTGAGATGAAACCCTACAGAGTTTCATTCACGAGAGGTCCCATGGCCGAGAGGCTTCAAACGACCCAGGTGACGATGGGTTGTGTCCTAACGTCCACCCCGTTCCCAGCCTCTGTGGTTGTTCTATACAGAAGAGTCAGTTCAGAGAGAGAAATAAAGGCAACTCCACTGAGGCAGCTTCCCGCTACCTGTGTCTGAACAACAGTCCTGGTTTTCCTTTTTCACGAGCATATGTTCACACTCTTGATGTTCAGTAACAAGCACTTCTGTGAGTGTGTGCGTGTGTAGATTCCAGTTTGTGTCCTGGCTCAAAAACAGTTATTTTTGGCAACACTGAAGAGCTTTCAGAGAGATTTTTGTCACTTGCAGTATAATGGCAAGGGAGAGACTGGCGTGGTGTTTAGGCCACAAACTTAAAAACATCTTTATTTTCGATTTCTGTTGCAGTACAAGAACTGTTTTTTCATAGTATTTGATACTTTTTTTGTTGCTTTTGTTCTTCTATGTACAGGAGACGAGTAGAATAAGACTTGCTTTCACTTTCGTGTGGTTCTTATGTACAGAGGTCGGACTCAAAGAATGTCTGGAGCGGTAGCAAAAAAATTATTCTAGCCACAACAACACAGGTGATACAGCACGTCCACCTACAACATCCATCAGTGATTCGGAGAGCAGGTTCAGTCCTTAATCCACCCCCCATCTGTGGATCTGAGATGAAACCCTACAGAGTTTCATTCACGAGAGGTCCCATGGCCGAGAGGCTTCAAACGACCCAGGTGACGATGGGTTGTGTCCTAACGTCCACCCCGTTCCCAGCCTCTGTGGTTGTTCTATACAGAAGAGTCAGTTCAGAGAGAGAAATAAAGGCAACTCCACTGAGGCAGCTTCCCGCTACCTGTGTCTGAACAACAGTCCTGGTTTTCCTTTTTCACGAGCATATGTTCACACTCTTGATGTTCAGTAACAAGCACTTCTGTGAGTGTGTGCGTGTGTAGATTCCAGTTTGTGTCCTGGCTCAAAAACAGTTATTTTTGGCAACACTGAAGAGCTTTCAGAGAGATTTTTGTCACTTGCAGTATAATGGCATACCCCCATTTCCTCATGTAACAGCTCTCATCAAATAATGATGGAGAAAGACAGAGAAAGGAAAGTGAAGTGAAGGTAAGGAGTTACGCAAAAGCAACATTTTAAAGATATGACTTGAAATAAAACACAGAAATAGAAGCCCAGTGTGATGTTTGACGATATTTTTGGAGCAGAGAGAGCTGAAGGCAGAGACGCCCATTGAGAGAAGGCAGATAGTTGGACTCGCTGTTTCTCTATGTGTGTGTGTGTGTGTGTGTGAGGATGGAGGAGAAAATGATGCTGATGAGAGGGCAGAGTGGTTACACAGCACTTCAGAGAGCCTGCTGCCATGGAGACAAACCTCTCTGTCGCTCTCCCTGTTTAGGCTTTCCTTACCTCTTACTTCAAAACAAATGAAAGAGCAAAAAGGCAACCAGACATAAGGAGGGCGTCAGAGACAGGAGATGAGTCCATCATCGCCATCGGCACTTTGCATCAGACCCTGTGGCGCTCTGTCTCCTCCACCTCTTCCTCGTAGTCACAGGCTTGTGACCAGCTGCATCTGTCCATCTCCCTCGCTGTGAGGGGGCTCAGGGGTGGGGTGGGCTTCAGTGCTCGGTCTCCTAGGTGGAGCCTGGTAGAAGGTCTGCATGGGGGCTCCGCGGGAGCCTATGGCAGGCCGACCCGAGCTGTAGTACAGCTCCTCCGGAGGCTGAGCCGAGCGCGGAACCACCTCTAGCGGCTCTGGGCTGCTGTCGGGGTAGGGTGAATCTCGCAGGTTGGTGATGCTGGTGTAGAGGGAGTCCCGCGCAGGTGAATCGGGGGCTCCGTTGTGGCCCTGGCCTGCTGCACTTTGGCCGCTGTGACCGCTGTGGCCCAAACTCTCGGTCAGGTCGGCTGTGTAGCTTTCGGACTCCTCTGGGTCACTCTGGTAGAGCACGGACTGGGCACGCTGCAGCAGCAGGGGCTCCTCCAGAGCCTTGTACAGCAGTTCCACGTCTTGCGGCGTGCGCTGTCGTGCTTCTCTCGAACGAAAGTCTTCGTCATTCTCCATGCCTATCGCCGGCTCTGCCGCGCCTCCGCCCCGCCCCATTCCCATGTGCCCATGTCCTCTGACCAGGCTACCACATGTTCTGTCACCGCCCCCAGCCCCTCCACTGCCTCGGAGATTATTGTGCACAAGTTCAGATATGATCATCTTCTCGAAAGCTGCTGCGTCTGAGAGGTTTCTCTGTATGCCACCGAGAGTTTCGGAACCGTGGGGATTGAGTAGGGGAGGGGGGCTATCTCCACCTCCACCTCCCAGGAAGTCACAGCTGCCCCCGGGAGCTCCCGAACCCCCGACACTACGCAGTGAATAGCTGTTGTTGAAGTTCCCATTCAGAGGTAGCGTCTCCATGCCTCCATGATCTCGGTTCTTAGACAGTGTGCTCTCTGTTGAGAGAGCAAATGAGAGGTGGTAAGCAAATGAAAAAGGAGGAGGGAGAAGTGAGCACTTCATTACCTATTTTAATCAAGATGGGAATTCACAGCAACAGAATCCGGGATTAAATCAATAATGGGGAACGTAACTTCCATCACAAGATTAATAGGCTTATGGACAGAGGCAAGTTATTACCAGGGACGTAAATTGTGTACATAGAAGCAAGGCTTCACTCCACATGTGAAGAGGTTATCATTCAGCAAAATTAGCCTATAAAACACTGAAAATAGCCATAAGCCTTAAAGTGAAAAGTCTTACTTGGGTCACGGAAAGTTCCTGTGGATCCAAGGTGAGGCAATGTAAGGGCAAAGCGAGACAAAAGAAAGACAACAAAAGTGATCAATGATTTGTTTCTGACTTGGGCTTTACATGAAACTGCCTTCTTTTTCTTGAATGTTGGCATAAACAAATGTCACACTTAGGAACTCTATTGATGAAATAATGTAGTAGCTATAAAGAGACAACAATGGACATCAATCATCTCATTCACAATAACATACTGATTTCAAAATGTAGTTAGTTATTCTATCAGCTATAATCAAAAGTAGTAAACTACAGTGAATTACTTAAAGTGACAGTTCACCCAAAATGATAATTCTATTATCATTTACTCACCCTCATGTTGTTCCAAACCTGTCTGTCTACATTTAAAACAAAAAAGTGATTTTTGTTGTATTTATAAACAAAACAAAACAGTTTAAACATTCCCCAAAATATCTTATTTTGTGTTTCATAAAAGAAATAAAGTCATGGTTTGGAACAACATGAGAGTGAGTGAGTTTAATTTTTTTGAGTGCATATTTCTATAAATAAAATCAAATTAAGTATCCAATTAAATAATTTAGAAATGTATCAGTCTTATTTTGCTGTGGATTTAAATTAATATCTTAATACATGCATACTAAATATAAGTATAAATACATTTATACTAAATACAACAAAAAAAATTTTTTTGTTTAGAATATTTCTTTAGAATCTACACACATTTTTTTAGACTTGACTAGAATGCTACATGCGAGAGAGACAGAGAGAGAGGGCAATTTTATGTGAGTGAGTTTTTACCATTCCCTCAGCTTTCCCTCAGAGACTTACATTAAAAACAGTGATGTAGTGTTTGGTCACGCCACACCTCTACTCGCTAGATAAAGTATGAAAGCAGTGGAACTACAGTTGTTTAGTTTTGGGGCAGTGTCTGATTCTGTGGACTGAGGATCAGTATCTCACCCTTTTTGGGGAGTTTAGAAATGGAGCTTTATTGTTTGGTTTTGGCATGATCCTTATTCGGCGAGATGTTATTCACACTTCATCCTCATAAATTCAAGACCATGTTTATTTCACACGCCCGAGATATTGTGATATGCTTTTAACTCGTCGGCGTGCATTGAACGCAGGAGATGCGTGAGGTGGCACACACCAAGGCATGCGCGGGTTTAAATATTAATGCCCGGTATGATTTTAATCAACGCTCCTCTGTGCAGAGAGAGAGAGAGTAATTAGACATTCTAATGAGGCCCTCCTCCTACTTCCTCTCCATAAGCATTCTAAAAATGTCCTCTCAGCCGAGCCAAGTGGCGCACCGTCAGCCTGACACATTACACAGAGAGGGAACGTTTAAAATATTCAACAGAGACGCTGTCTTAAATTTCACCACACTGACATGGGAACCGCAGCTATCTTTCTCTCTCGCTGCCTTTCAATCGGCACACGAAGGCGAACGGTATGGCGAGAGAGCGAAGCCTGGGCAGTATGCGTGCGCGGCACGGACACAGCTATGCCGATACTCTGTGTCGAATCTCAAGGGAACACTCTCCTTTCTCGCTCCGCTGTCAGTCACTCAACTTCAGCCCTAGCTTTAATCAATGCTCTGGTCTGTCTTTCCAGCAGGAGGGATTAAAACGCTGGCCAGATGGTCAGTCCCTGTCCACCCCTCTGAATCACACTGACAGACCGACAGGGTGTAAACTCACACGCGGAGGGAGACGCACAGACCTACACACACACACAGCATATGCACAAGAGTGCACAGATCACAGCACATGAATACCACCGGTGACACTTACACACACTGTGGCAACTGCATATACAATAATGATACTAATAAAAATAAAAAAATACAGAGGATTTTTTTTATTGCTCAGAGGACATTCATAGCTAAAAAGTTTAATTAAGAAGTTAAGTTTCTGAACTCAAATGTGTATGTATGTGTGTGTGTATACACACACACATTAAATGGATCAAAAATGAGAGTAAAGACATTTTCAGTATGTTAATAAAGATTTCGATTTCAAATAAATGCTTTTGTTTTGAACTTTCTATTCTTCAAAGAATCCTGAAAAAAAAAAAAATCACAGTTTCCACACATATATTAAGCAGCACAACTGTTTTCAACATTGATAATAATAAGAAATGTTTACTGAGCAGCAAATCATCATATCAGAATCTTTGTTTCTCCTAAGAGGATTTAGGAGAAACATCCAAGGCAAGTTAGTATGTTCAACATAAAAGGAACTACGAAATAGCTACCTTTGATTAATTAAATACAACTTTATTTGGCATTTGGGCAAATTTGAGCACAGTTTGAGACTTAAACAGTTCTGAGACTCTACATGATAAATAATTAAGATACTAAAGTGAAATCATTTGTGATTTTCTTTCCAATGCAAACTAAAGTCGACCCACACTTACCAGTAGAGTTGAAGACTCCAGGCGAGGGCGGGGTAAACGTCTCAGCCAGCAGCGTGTTATAAGGAGAGGTTCCTGTACGGGTTTGCAGCACAGGGTTCGTCAGAAGATGGTTCCCCATTGTACCTAAAAAGGAAAAGAAAAAAATTCTTCACATCATAAAGTCATACCATTTTTATAAAATCCTACATTATAAACGTTATTTAAGCAGCAAGGTACTGAAGGCCATGCTACAGGTATGCTGTGAATATACACACTGCTATGAGGTCATGTTAGACCAACAGAGTCTTTTGGCAAATGTTTACATTTGTAGCTAATTTGTATAGATATGTACAGTATATGTGGTCACACTTTAGTTTTGGGACCAATTCTCACTATTAACTAACTATTAACTATGACTTTTGCCTCAATAAACTCCTAATTTGCTGCTTAATAATAGTTATACTAAGGTAGTTGTTAAGTTTATGTATGGAGTAGGAGTAAAGGATCTTAAATATACGGTCAGGCACTTGCAGAGGGGGGTGCTTTGGGGGCTCAAGCCCCTGCCCGTTTTCCAAAATTAACCAAAAGCGCCCCTCTCTCAAAATGCATATGAATTATAATAATATGGCAATGTGTACAAAACAGTAACGAATTGCTCAAAACTCCCAGTATGCTTAGGAGAGGGGTTAGGGGTGGACCCTATATTACTTGTTTTCTAAAAATCATAATGTTAGTTTTTCACAAAATTTCTGTTCAGAAAAGTGGCATACTTCTGCTAGTCACTGACATCTAAAGTAAGATCAATAGTCTGGTGTATAGTGGTATAAAGAGCTGTTTCACATCAAACCTGTTAATATATTGTGCATTTTACCGTGGCTGAAACGTAACAGACAATGAGCATTCAGGATGCAGGAACTATCAGTTTTAAAGGAATAATACATATTATGAACATGGAATGGCTATTTGCACTTCACAATAAGGCTAAGCAGAATCCACAGTGTGTTCATTGTGTTTGACATTTCACAAAAAAAAATCCCTAATGTCGCTGTGTGATGCCGTAATGGCTGATTTGATGAAGTGTTTATTTGCAGTGAAGCCGAAATGTATTTGAAGAGTAGTTGTGGAGCGTAATTCCATGCCTCACTGTCAAATGGAGTCATTGGGAGGGAAATGGTAATATTTGCCATTATGTAGTTCCACAGAGCAGCCACTGAAATGTGGGTTCATTTCCCAGTGAAATGTGAACGCTTGCAGTAGACAAATGTGACTCAGAGAAATGGAACATTCAGTATGGGCCATAATGCAGACGCAGAGCTGCAGCCCGGGGCTTTCAGACAGAAATGCCATGAAATTAAAAAGAGGCCAGTATGACATCGAGTGGACTGAGGCAAAGTGCAACCTTGCGCTCTCGCGCTATCATCTATCAGAGAGGACCGCCTCAAGAATTAATTTTAGATGTGCGCTCGTCATTTTTACACACATACTACACACATTTCTTACCTCTTGCAGGAATGTTCCAGGTTTAATAAAAGTAAAGCTGTGCCACCAGCATTTGTGGCATAAAATTGATTACAGAAAAGAATTCCAGCTCATTCCTCATTAAAGTCTGACACAATGTAGTAAACACACTGTTAAGCACACAAGACTTAAACATGAAACTAGTGTGACCTATTCAATCTGTCAACATTGTTGTCATGACCATGTAATGCTGCTAAATCCCCACAGTACCATTTAAGCTGCGTAAAAGATGAACTAAACATGATTTGACTTGAGAGAAAACCTGTTAATTTTTAATATGCAATACAGATTCCAGATTTGTCAAGCACTATTTTACATGGCACAAACTCTGCCCACAGAAATTATGTCAATAGCACATAACCAAATGTTCATCCATCTAGAAAAGTAGTCCCACCTGAAACAAAGATTTCACTGAATGGATAATTCAGTGCAATTGCTTCATAAGAATGATTCACCCAAAAATGAAAATGTACTGAATGTACTAACGCTTGAGACACACAAGATGTAGATGAGTTTGTTTCTTCATTGGAACAGATTTGGAGAAATTTTCCCTTGCTCAGATTTGGAGCATCCCTTGCTCACCAATGGATCCTCTGCAGTGAATGGGTGCCGTCAGAACGAGAGTCCAAACAGCTGATAAAAACAGCACAGTAATCTACAAGTAATCCACACAACTCCAGTCCATCAGTTAATGTCTTGTGAGGCGAAATGCTGAGTGTTTGTACTCTGTAAAAAATATTTTTCAAAGTTGTAAATCAAAGCCAAGATTATCAGAGTATGTTTTACAAGAAAATACAATTTCAGTCTTTCTACTTTAACATTCAGTACATTGTGTTTTCATCATTCAGTTCAATTTCTGAGCAAAAATAATTTCTACACAAATCCATCAAGGTGTTTTAACATTAAACTGTTGCTTTTTGGCAAAAATATGAGCCCATAATCCATAATAACACGTGTTTCAGTTTAAAAAGTCCATTCCTGTTGTCCTCTCACATCAAAATGCACCAACATGTTTGTTTAGAAATGTTTTGGACTCTTTTGGTTGTAAACAGTGAGAAAAAAAAAAATTCAGAGAACCTTTTCACTTAAGAAATCAATATTACGGATAGAGGATTTGCTTTTTAGCCAGTAGCAACGGTTTGAAGGGAAAAACACCTTGATGAATTTGTTTCTTACAAACACAAAGATTTTCACTTCACAAGACATTAATCGATGGACTGGAGTGGTATGGATTATTGTGATGTTTTTATCAGCTGTTTGGACTCTCATTCTGACGGCACCCATTCACTGCAGAGGATCCATTGGTGATGTTAAATTTCTCCAAATCTGTTCCGATGAGGAAAAAAATAGTAATTTTTCATTTTTGGGGAAAATTTCACATTATGCTGTTAAACCCTTCAGATCGATGGTATCAATAATTTCTAAAAGAGTCAAAATTGTGTTCTGTGTTAATGAACATTATGCCAATCTCAACACTCACTGCGCTCTCCCAGCTTTTGTAGGTGCAAAGACCTATTTCTTATATTAAACGTTACTCAAGGTCTGCACTCTAAAATTCTCTTTATTTAAACAGGAGATAAATACAAATAACAGACGTTTCAGCTTGCTGCCTTCATCAGTGTGACAAGATCTCAGTAACTCAATGATTATATGAAGATCAACAATGACCCACAGGTGGTGGTAATTAGGTTTCCAAATTCACAGACTCCAGATCAGTTCCATCTAATAGCAACAAATTTCAACAAAAGCTTAAAGGGGTCATATGATGCGATTTCATTTTTTCCTTTCTCTTTGGAGTGTTACAAGCTCTTGGTGCATAAAGAAGATCTGTAAAGTTGTAAAGACTAAAGTCTCAAATCCAAAGAGATATTCCTTATAAAAGTTAAGAGTCAGCCACGCCTACCTAAAACGGCTCGTTCTAACACGCCCCCACATATCTACCTCTATGTTCACTGATTCTAATTCTCAATGGCCTCAAAGTTTTTCCAACATACATCAATGTATTAATAACATCAAATCAAATGAACAGTGGTTCAGAATTCTTTTAAAGAATCAAATGATTCCATACAGCTTTCTTCAAAATTATCTGCATTGCTGGGATATAAAATTATTGTTTTATCTTCTGCATTGAAAGTAAAAGCCTTTTAGAGTTTTAAACAAGATAAAACAAGCATCCCAGCAATTTGATTGATTCTTTAAAAGAAAGACTTTTGCGACTGCATCAAAAAAAGACACGCTTTGAACTATACACTAAAACTTTGAGTGAATATCATCAATGCGGATGCATTCCCAGAGGTCTTCGAATTGAAAAAGCTCCTACCATTGGCAAAGAAAATCCGGAGTTTTGTCAAATCTGGTGTGAAATTCTGAACCACTGTTCATTTGATTTGATGTTATTAATCGTCGAACATACTTTCTTCTGTAAAAACCTCTATCCTGGAATGTGAAAATCTGCATACAACAAGGAGAAACTAGATGAACTACAATCGAACATCCAGGAACAACTGAAGAAATTCCGAGATGATCTGACCACTTTCAAACTCCGCAAATTTAGACGTGATACAATGGATTATAAGGACAACAAGATCTACAGATGGATGTCTGGAAACATCATGCATTGCGCTCACGGGATGAACCCTCAGACTCCAGTGAATCCAACCTTTCTTCTTCTACAACATCTTCTACCACTGTGAGGCCTTTTTTGGCAACTCCACATCGCTCCCAAAGAACACGCACCAGAAGAGGCGTCCAACTAGAAGAGGCTCGAGGGGAAAAAAGACGTGTGAGGTAAACCCTACTGAAAACAGAGAGAGAGAAGATGACATGTCCAAATTCTCAGTAAAGGTTTATCTTTTGTTCCAACTCCAAGAACTGATCCTTTCTTAGTTCATGAGAAATGTGAAATTAAAAAGTTTTTTTTTTTTTTGGGTTGTTCCACATATTGACGTAGATATGTGGGGGCGTGTTAGAACGAGCCGTTTTAGGTAGGTGTGGCTGACTTAACTTTTATAAAGAATATCTCTTTGGATTTGAGACTTTAGTCTTTGCAACTTTACAGATCTTCTTTATGCACCAAGAGCTTGTAACACATCAAAGAGAAAGAAAAACTTGAAATCGCATCATATGACCCCTTTAAACAGGAGATAAATACAAATAAGAGACGTTTCGGCTTGCTGCCTTCATCAGTGTGACAAGATCTCGGTAACTCAATGATTATATGAAGACCAACAATGACCCAGAGGTGATGGTAATTAGGTTTCCAAATTCACAGACTCCAGATCAGTTCCATCTATAACAGCAACAAATTTCAACAAAAAAACTTAAACAAAAATCAATGGGGACAATAACACATCAGGCAAAAACATGCCGGTCATACACATTGCTCTCAAAAAAAAAATTTTTTTTTACAAGAAACATGAAAGATCAAAATCCTCATTTAAACCCAAAGGTGACATGGTCTTTAAATAAAACATCCAAGACGCCTCTCTTTGTAAGAGTCTTTTATTAATATCTCCACCCCGGCGAGGATTCATTATTTTCTCAATTCCTATACATTTCAGTTGTTCAATACTATGATTATATTCAATAAAGTGTCTGGCCACTGGAGAAGTAACATCACGTCTACG